AGGAAAAATCAATTATATATATATATATATATATATATATATATATATATATATTAAAAAAGATAGCTGAAAATGTGATAGAATACTAATTATTTAAGAGAATTTTGAAAACTTTTAAATTGGCGAGACATGACGAAGTAGTTAAATTTAAATTATATGTATTTTCATTTATATATATATATATATATATATATATATATATATATATATATATATATATATTTAGATAGATAGATAGATAAACAGAGAGAGTGAGAGTAGTGGATATTGAGGTTAATACACATCGGTGAAAGTCTTTTTCCTGGTCTGACATTTAGATTGATGTCCAAATTTTATATTTACATACGCTCTATCTCTTTTAACTCATAAATATGCCATACCTGAACACTATACCTTTATCATATATATATATATATATATATATATATATATATATATATATATATATATATATAAACATCTGTGTATCTTTCAAATCTCTGTCAGTTCATCTCTAGCTATGCGATTTCTATGTATGTATGTATGTATGTATCTATCTATCTATCTATCTATCTATCTATCTATCTGATACTCTACTGTACATATTTAAACTGAGAACTAAACTTCTAATTGCTGAACACAGTTTTCTTTCTGTTTTCAATTATATATTTGGATTGCATCGATCACCTAAAAAAATTAGGCAAGAATGCGTTTTTTTTTTTATTTTTATGTTCAATATCTACAGCGCCCACGAATGCCAGGCGAATGCATGATCATTTAAGGAGGCACACAAACATGAATGCAAACTCAAGTATAAACACATTCATCTGTGTACATTCCGTAGATACATATATATACATAAAAACTGTGTGTGTCTCTAAGTATGGGTGCAGAGTGTGCGTATATATATATCCATACGTGTGCACCAATCCATAAGTAGGTTGGTCTTATCTACTTATACATCAATGTATGTATCTGTATATTTATCTTATTCACACATATACATCCACACATATATAAACATGGTTGACCATGTTGGAATCCATCTCCCCAGGTTTTTGTTACTGAGTTTCGGGTTTCCAAATATTTAACATCTTTTAAATGAAACATAAAAAGCTTATTCTCTTACGGAGAATTAGAAACAGAATGTCAGTTGAAATGACATTTATATATTCTTTTTAGAAATATACAATAGCAATAAAATGTTCAATTTCCCTTGCCGTGAAGTTTGTCTTATAAAGTAATTAAATGTTCTTAGTTGTTGTGAAATGTGTGAACAAAGTTATAATATCCCTGTGTTTGTGGACAAATTGTTTTTGAACCTCGAGAAGATGTATGCTTCTATTTTTATATCCGTAAGGAGCTTCAAAATCTAATTTTAAATATAGGTGTGAACTTTTTGAATACAAGGTTTTCATTGTTTAGAAAATAATTTCACACTGGCAGGCGGAAATCTTTTCTCAAATTCGCACGAGTAGTGAAGGGAATTATTATAGTTATTTTCTAAATGGTCCAAAAATAACGTGTGGTAAGTCTAAAAATATGCCCGCAATGATTGTTTACCAAACAAAACTTCTTATTGGATTTTATTAGTTGAAAAATACATATAGAATTTAATTCATATACACGCGTATATACCGGGTGTCCCAAAAGTCACGCTCAGTGGTTCGGTCAGTCAGTCGATGCCGGACGACCGTTAGTCGGATACTAAAGTATGAGCGACCACAATTAGATTTCTCTGCGTCATTACCTATTATATCAAGTTCCTAACGTTTTGTACGTCGAACCTATTTTAGGACCGACTTAGTACAAATACAAGCCTCCACTGTGAAACCACTCCACAACACACACCCCCAGAGAGAATACTGGCAACATTTCCATGCCAGAAAACAATCATCAAATTTCAGGATTTGTCAGTTGACCCAAAGTTTTAGGTAATATGATTCTGTAAGTAACTTGCCAAGTGACTTTGGGGATATCTTAAGGAGCGTGTACATATTAATAAACTCCAAACAATTCAACAAATCAAGGATAACATCTTCAGAAATCCGAGGACTGCAGCTAGAGTCAACCGTTGATATGGAGAATGCTATCGAAAGGACACGTCTATATAAAAATGGAGTATATTTTACGTTTGCTTTGATTTGCTTTGTGTAACGGTATATCAACAGCTTATGGGTCATTTAATGCAAATTTCCTTTTTAATATTAAATCCTATTGCTATATTTTTTTTTACTATTAAAATCTATTGCTGGAATTTGACTTGTTTTTACGATTTATCAACCGTTTGCAGATTATTTAAAGCTAGAAAATAGTTTTGGATTGTAAGAATTTTATGGAGATAGTAATGATTTACTGAAACAATTTTACTAATTAACCCGTAGCTGGAGGGAGAAGGGGTGGAGTCATGCCTTTCTCAAGAGCATTTGCGCGTAAGTTAATATAACGAACTAAAGTGAAATTGAAACTCTCCAATTAATAATTCCGAGTCATTATCCACTACACCACCCATACAGCCAAGCATACAGCACCTGGGATTCTCAAGCGGTCACCCATCTAGGTACAGACCAGACACGACGTTGCTTAATTTCGGTGTTCGTGTGGGAACCGGTGTTTCAACATGATGCGGCCGTAAGTCGTAATTCCTGGTCGCTCGTATACGAGTATGCGTGTCTGCTAGCCGATCCCTATTGCAGACGCCTGCTGAGGCACATTTGTGTTTGTTCAACACCCGCATACTACAACTATACTGAGAAGATCTTAGTTGCAATTCCTGAGCATATAATCTGGTAGGATCAACAGTCTGAACAAGGCCAGTGTGCTCAAGCCGTCAGTCACCGTGACTTGCGACTTTGTGCTAGCTCAGCCATTGAATTCGTTCCGGTCAACCCGTGGTACGGTTTTCAGAGATTTTCCAGAAGTCACCTTTCTGACAAATCGATCATAGTGCGCTTCGAACCACGGTTTCATGGAGAGGGGGAATCGAACGATCTAACCATAAAAAGGTAAGAACAGAGAATAAGGTGAGAATAAGCTAAGAATAAGGTAAGAATAGGCTTAAAATAATATAAATATTAACTTTTTCATTATTTTAAAATTCAGTTATTTGAAATATTGTAAGACTTTTAATTTTCATCAATGACTTTCCCGATGACATCAGCTCTCAACTTGATACCTACGCTGATGACGCAACCACTTAATCCTGCCTCCACAGGCTGATTAGTCCGGCAAGCTCAAGATGGCAGCCCATGTCCAAAACGAGTTTAAGTCTATCGTTAACTAGGGAAAAAGATAGCTTGTTAATTTTAGCGCCTCTAAAAAATAAACTGTTTTCCATTTATCATCTGAGAGAACTCTTTATACCTACCAACGGTTAGCATGACTGATACTAAACACCCGGAAAGTGACTCTTAGCGTTTTTTCAAGCTAATGTTCTTGGCTGACAAGAAGTAGAAAGATTATTTTGAATCCATTGCTAGGGCATCTACTAAGAAAGTTGGTTCACTCTGTCGTGCGTGACAATTTTTCTTTCCAGAATCTATTTTACATGTCTATAAGTCTACCATTCCATGCTTAGAATATTGCTGCCATATATGGTCCGGTGGTCCTGCTATTTACCTTGAACACCTTGATAAAATCGAAAGAAGAATCAGCAATATTATTGGTCCTGATCTGGCAGTCACTTTCCTACCCGGTAAGGTTGGCTCTCTATGACTTTTCTATAAATACTTTCATGGTAATTTTTAGGATGAGCTATACGCAATGGTACCTAAACTTTTAAAAATTTAAGCGCGGTACTCGACTGGCGTCTAGATCTCAACAATTTACGGTTGAGCTGCTTAGATATATCCGTAAAGTTTATGCCAAAATTTTCTTTTCTCAGTTGGGGAACCCGTTTCAGGTTCCATGTTTTCTAGCCAACTTTAATCTGCAAAAATTAAAATGGGATGTCAATCGCTATCTACTGTGCTCCTGATTACTCTCTTTTTCTTCCCGCTCATTATTAATGTTTCGATTCCTAATTCTTCCACGCCCTAGAAACCTTTGTGTCTTAGTGGCTTTACTGCCTTTCATGGGGTGATACCGATTATAAAGAAAAAATTAAGAATATGCTTGATCACGTGGCATGATTATATACATTTGCGTACGGGGATGAAATTACAATGGTTATTTATAGCAAAAATAAACAACACTTATAATTTAGAAAATTTAGAAAATGACATTTTCTTTTTCGCTATTCGTGATCTGGAATGATTATTCTATGAAAAAGGAATTAAAACTAAATATTTCTTGGGGGTGTGTTCTAGTTCTTTCAGTTTTCTTTCTGAAATTGCCACTAACTAGTGTCGTCTGCATAGTTTATATTGTTATGATTACGTTTGCTGATAAATAAGTTTCTTTGTCCTCTGAGAATCTTACTGTACAGGCGAAATGAATACTGCCAGAAAAAAAAAAAACAACAATAAAAAAAACATAAAAATATAATAAGACATAAATAGACATGGCAGCTCAAATAAATGGTTTGGTTCGTTTTCACGCTAATGAAATTGAAAAAGGTCTGAGTCCGTCTCTCCCCCCCCCTCACAAAATGCGGGTTAAATAGACTGGGTTTTCTTTGGGTGGCAAGAGAGAGAGAGAGAGAGAGAGAGGGGGGGAGAGAGAGGGAGAGAGAGGGGAGAGAGAGAGAGAGAGAGAGAGAGAGAGAGAGAGAGGGAGGGAGGGGACCCCCCCACCAAAAAAAAAAACAACAAAAAAACCTCTGAATTACCAAACTGTAAATAATGAAACGGCAAACCAAACAGTTATCTTGTCCCCAAAACCTATGGTGATCAGCAAGAAGTGGAAGTTGTGATACCTGTGTCCTGAAGTGCTATATCCTGAAAGCAAACAGTTCAAACCTATTTTTTCTCCCCAAAATAGCACGGTGGTAATTAATGGATTATAGTTAGAACCTTATGATTAATACAGGGTTTATTTAAAACCGCAATTAGTGAGTTTTTTTTTTTTTTGTTTAAACATAGAAATATAAACGTAAATGAGACAACTGGAGTATTTTAAACAGCGGGGACTTGGAGAAATTGATTTTCACAAGGCATCCCGAGGGCAAAATAGTGTGCGGAGGTCATCTACCTGACCAGCTTTTGGGAATCGTTGTTGGAACGGGGGGGGGCAGGATGCTTGGCAACGTGAGAAACGTTTCTAAGGGTCACGACGCTTAGGAATCTGTGGATCGCTCACATCCCGAATAATATCAAATATTTTTTGAAAACCTCTAATTAATACAAAATTTTCATTCTAATTTTTTTATTACTTCTATAGTTTTATATTATTTCAATATTTTTATATTATTTATATATTATAAAGTAAGGGAGATACTTATATCTTTACAGAGGTACGTGTTTTCATATAGATGTCTGCGTGTCCATCCGTATATATTTCTTTAAAGTGTAGATAGACGTTCTGTTGATGCACAACAGTTTCTTTTCTTTACATTGTTCAAATGTTTAACGTATCTTTCTTTCTGTATTATTTCTAACATCCATAAGTCGATCTTCATTCGCCTATTATCAGTTTTTCAAATATTCTTATACCAGAATTCCGTCTATTAAGGCCGCCATGTTCTCAACTTCTCTTCTTGCGAGGCAATCAAGAGTTAACAATCTAACTTACATCAAATTTTTCTTTGAAAAGTTCTCAGACTTGATTCCTTTATTTCTGTTTGTCGGGGGTTTCCTTGGATGCCATGATGAAAAAGAAGAAAACAAATCTGAAAGGGAAAAAAAGAGAAATTCTACAGAAAGCTTCTTTTATGTTTGCTTGTTTCGCTCGGCTTTTATCATTGTTGCGTATTACGCGAATTCACAAATGATCGTCTGTAGTCTAAGAATTTCCTGGAATCGTTTTATTCCAATGAATTTAATTTACCTCCTTTCTTTCTCTTTTTATTTCTTTCTTTCCTATAAATATTAATTTTCACCTATCTTTTTTTCTTATACGTATTTCTTTCTTTCTTTCTTTCTTTCTTTCTTTCTTTCTTTCTTTCTTTCTTTCTTTCTTCCTTCCTTTCTTTCTTCCTTCCTTTCTTTCTTTCTTCATTTCTTCATTCATCCTTATTTCTTCCTTCCTTTTAGATATTACTTTGTTCTTTTCTTTCTTTGTTTTAGATATTCCTTTGATCCTGCCTTTCTTTCTTTCTTTCTTTCTTTCTTTCTTTCTTTCTTTCTTTCTTTCTTTCTTTCTTTCTTTCTTTCTTTTAGATATTCCTTTACTATTTCTTTTTCTTTCTTTCTTTTTGATTTATTTACAACTTCTTTCTTTCTTCACAAAATGCTTTCTCTCTCTCTCTCTCTCTCTCTCTCTCTATACACACGCACCCCCACACACGCACGCACCCCCACACATATCTATCTATCTATCTATCTATCTATCTATCTATCTATCTATCTATCTATAGAGAGAGGGAGATAAATGTAAATATATATACATAAAAATGTACGTAATATTTCCTTGTTAAACTTTCTTTTTTTCTTCATAAATGTTTTCCTTTTTGCATTTTAATTTGTTGCCCCTTCATTTTTTCCTTTCTTTCTTTCTTTCTTTCTTTCTTTCTTTCTTTCTTTCTTTCTTTCTTTCTTATTATTCTCCAATAATATAGCATTATTCTTCAATCTTTCCCCTGTTCAATTGCTTTTGATCGACCAGTAATCGATTACCTAATGGCATTATCGCATGAGTCTGTCAATAAAAAGTCTATCAGCTTCTATCAATCAACTACTTATAGACTTATCTCTTAAACAACTGAACTACATCGACCTTAGGCAATTATATCAAACCTCGTTTTATCATACGCGATAGCTGAAGGGTTAGAAGGTTTGACTGGGGGCTAGAGTTTAATCTACAGTTGAAGATAATAGTTATTGTTTCTATAAAACCCAGAAAAGATAAAAGAAGCAGACATATTTCAGGGCAAATCACTGACTTTTTATAACATTTTTTTTCCAAAGTCTCCTTGGAAAAAAGCCAGGTGTCACAAAAAGGAAAAAAAAAGAACATAGCATTTAATTTGCATAGTAAGTGAAAATTTATTCATTCTGTTGCTTCTTGGAGTGTAAATTAACATGCAGATGTTATAGGCAGTTCAACGAAGAACAAATGTTAAAGAATTTGTTTCTATATCTTTTAAAATAACAATTTATATATCTGTTTGAATATTAGCCCGATTTATTAAAATGATTTCAATTATTTAAAGTTTTCATTTGAGATCTAAAAATAAAAAATAACACTTGTAAGTAGAGGTAAAAAGTATCCGATATCATATATGAAATTTGACACAAGCAAAACAATTTCCTTTTTAGAGAAGACTAGTAAAAGATACTGTAAGGAGGTCTTTTGAAGTAGACCTACACTAAAGATTACTTTGCATAGGATTTTAATATGTGCCAACATTATAATGCTGGCCATACTTCTGTTCATCTATTGAATCGATTTTTTTAAATGGCTGTTTTTAATCTAAAGTAGTTTCAACTGAACGTGAAGACCGTGGAAAGAATATTAAATATTGTTTCCCACTAAAACAAATAGGAAATTTAAAATGAAATAAAGATCACTTATTCTTAAATAAAAACTTAAAGTTT